AAATCATAGTCATGACTGGCACACACAGAGCTTTGAAGCAATATGTATGTGTATATTTGTCTAGTTGAGTTGTAAGTGGGATGGGTTGGCCCCAGACAATTTTTTCTTTACACTCTGGCATCTTCCCTTCAACTACTTCCACTTTTCCGGCAAACATATATTTCCTGTTCACTTCCTCCTCTGTTTGGGGATTTCTCTCTTTTCCTTGTTCACTGCCCTTCATTTTTTCACAGTTTTGCCGTTGCGTCTGTTTTTGACGGTGCTTCCCCAATTCGAAGAACTCGTCTACACCCGCCCCTTGTTGGGATGTAAGTCGACTAACTTCCTTGGAAAAGACCATTGTAGGGTTCCCTTAATCAGCTCAGGAATGCTTGGGGCCACCGGCACCGGCATAGTTCTATTTCTGCTTTCGTTTCCACACGTCCATCCCTCCATCCACGCTTCCGCACACGCCCTCCCGACTTCCTGACGAGGATTGCTTGGAGCTAGACCTTCAGTGTAGTGGTTCATGGCAATCAGCACTTCACATCGCTTTTTTCACATTTTCCCTGAGGACAAGGTGGCCGGCCGGTTTTGCCCCGAATAGTGTCCCCTCAACATCGGCGACAACAGACAGTTGGAGATACACAGCATGAGGCTCCTTGGTGCTGCCGGTGCCCTTACCTTATTATTCGTGAACAGCGCATGCGCATCCATATTACCCCGAAATCATGATACGTTCGATTACTTCGCTCTCCATCTTGACCCTTCCGTTTCCCCCATCCAGATTGCGCAGTTGCTAGGAGCCACACATGAGGGGCAAATCGGTGAATTGGCGGACCACCATACATTTTCCGCCCCAAAAGGTGTTCTAGGTTCGAATTTAGACAAAACATTAGACATCTTGAAGCTCAGGAGGCGGAGAAAACGAGATGCAGTACCGCCGAACGGCAAAATATCGATGGTAACAGATGCTTTGGATGGGATACTCTGGTCACAGAAGTTGAACTTAAGACCTCCGATGGTGAAACGGACGCCTCCACCCCCAACACTACCGCAACCGGCGACAGCAAAAATTAAGGCTCGTCAGTCGAGGCCACAAGACCGGGAAGTTAAGGATGGTTTTAACGCTACGGAAAAGTTGAGTGATATCGCATCTCAATTGGGGATCGCGGACCCGATGTTTCATGACCAGTGGCACCTGTTTAATACTGTTCAATTGGGGAACGATCTCAATGTTACAGGCCTCTGGCTGGAAGGTATAACGGGCAAGGAATCGATTTCGGCCATTGTGGATGATGGAATAGATATGCACAGCAAAGATCTGAAGGACAACTACTTTGCGGATGGGTCATACGACTACAACGACAAGTCGCCCATACCTAAGCCCCGACTATTCGATGATAAACATGGCACGCGATGCGCTGGAGAGATTGCAGCAGTGCGGAATGATATCTGTGGCGTTGGAGTGGCTTACGATAGTAGGGTTTCGGGGATCCGTATCCTATCTAAACCCGTGTCGGATGAGGATGAGGCCGCTGCAATCAACTACAAATACCAAGACAACCAGATATACTCATGTTCCTGGGGCCCCGTTGACGATGGTATGACCATGGAAGGCCCTGGCACACTCATCCAGCGGGCATTTGTCAACGGAATCCAAAAAGGGCGGGCGGGAAGGGGCTCGATATATGTGTTTGCCGCCGGTAACGGTGCTTTGCATGAAGACAACTGCAACTTTGATGGCTACACTAACAGCATATACAGCGTCACAGTGGGAGCTGTCGATCGCGATGACAATCACCCATATTATTCTGAGTCGTGCTCCGCGATGCTCGTGGTAACGTATAGCAGTGGCGTTAACGGAGCTATACACACCACCGATGTCGGAGTGGATTCATGTTCAACGAGACATGGGGGAACCTCCGCCGCTGGGCCGCTGGTTGCGGGCGTTGTGGCGCTTGCGCTAAGCGTCCGTCCTGAGCTCACATGGCGTGATATCCAATACATTTTCCTAGAGACTGCGATCCCAATCCATTTAAATGATAGTGACTGGCAGGATACCAGTATCGGCAAAAAATTTAGCCATGAATTCGGCTATGGGAAGGTAGACGCGTACTCTGCTGTCCATCTAGCTAAAGACTGGAAACTGGTCAAACCACAAGCTTGGCTGCATTCTCCCTGGCTACGGGTTCATAGTGAAATCCCCCAGGGAGAGGTGGGACTTGCCAGTTCCTTCGAAGTCACCAAAAAGATGTTGAAACTGCACAATCTTCAGCGCCTAGAACATGTCACTGTCACGATGAATGTCAACCACACCCGCCGCGGTGATTTGAGTGTTGAACTCCGCAGCCCGGCTGGTGTCGTTAGCCATCTAAGTACGACTAGGAAGCGTGATAATAACCCCGTTGGATACACCGACTGGACATTTATGTCAGTCGCTCATTGGTAAGTGCAAATCCGATAAAAAGAACAAAGCTCATTCTCCCTCAATCATCTATCAGAGCTCAAATCCCAGTCTGATCTTAAGGCACAAAGCTGACACGATCTTTCTACCACTTCAGGGGCGAATCCGGCGTCGGTAAATGGACTGTAATCGTCAAAGACACAGTCGTTAATGCTCACGAAGGCACGTTCATCGACTGGCAACTGGATTTGTGGGGGGAAGCAATCGACCCAAACATCCAGAAACTCCACCCCTTACCAACCGAACACGACCACGACCACGACCAGGACGACGAACCCGCTATCGTAACCACTGCCGTCATAACGCCCACGAGCGGAACCAGCCTCCCCACTCCTTCCTCCGTGCCAACCGACCACGTCGACCGCCCGGTCAACTCAAAACCAACCGGCTCCCCATCCGGTACCGACAACGACACATTCCTCCCGTCCTTCTTCCCTACCTTCGGTGTCTCCAAACGCAGCCAGGTCTGGATCTATGGCTCGCTCGCACTTATCCTAATTTTCTGCTGCGCGTTGGGTGTTTACTTCCTCGTCCAGCGTCGGAAGCGCATCCGAAATAACCCGCGCGATGACTACGAGTTTGAGATGATTGATGGTAGTGATGAGGCGGATCTGCTCAGTGGCGGTGATGATGTAGAGCATATGGGTGCCGGCACTCGTGGTTTGGGACGGAAGCAGCGGAAGAAGAAAGGTGGGGAGTTGTATGATGCTTTTGCTGGGGAAAGCGATGAGGAGCTTTTGAGCAATGATGAGGCTGAGGAGTTTAGATTATCTGATTCGGAGGGCGAGGCACCGTATCAGGATGAAGACGAAGATGAGAAGAGGATTAGTGTTGGCGATCTAAGCGAGAAAACCTAGCTGGTTTGTCCTTTGTTTGATGTTCACATTAGTTTCGAATATTCCTTTCTTTTGGTTTTTACATCCCCTTTTTCCATCTATATATGTATCCCCTACCTAAGTCTCCTTAAATGCCCATGCTACCCTTTGCTTTGTGTCGTTTTCATTCTCATCTTTCCTCTCACGCCTGTCCCAACTCAAACCAACATTAGGAGACCAAAGCAACACGCCTTCGACTGTGCTATAGAGATATTATTTTGTTGGATCATGTTTTTTTTTTTTTGTTATCTGCTACCCATGTATTTTGTCATCCTATCTGACTATTGTGGGGGGCGTCGCTGCTGCTTTCTCTCTCCCTCTTTTCGGTCTGGCGTTTCCTCTGCTTGTCATAAGGATCATTCATATGTTGAGGCATTTGTATTTTGTCACTTTTTTGTTCCATTTGTTTTTCCTAGATGCATCGGAAATTCATATATGTATGTATACAGTCTTGAGGGTTAAGGATGCTATTTGAATTGAATAAATTCATGCGGGTCATCTTTGTTCTTTTCCTGTTCCTCTTTGCTCCTTTATTCATGGCCCTCAAAGCGGAGTGATTCAGCTCAATAGTTATGTCTGGATATGTCATCTGGGGCAAGGGGGA